CGGGTACCGTGTCGTTCAACCACAAACACAATAGGCTTGGATGTGCAGAATACATAAAAGTTTGTCCGAATATTACACACTGTAAGAAAAACACGCAATAGGGAACAAGCTCGTTTGCGGTGATTCTTCTACAGGGTAATACATCACAACTTAAGCCAAATTGTTCAGTAGACGGGAGAAATCATGATAAGTTAGAAGAGGAAAAAAAGACCAACATTCCAGTTCTGCGGAGTTACCGGGAGTTACTCACACTTTGGTCGTCACACAAGCGTACTGGTTGGGATCATTAGGGGTGGGTGGAGGGGTGTGGGGCTATGTCGTGTGATGTTGACTAATTTATCAACAACGTTCAACAATCTTCTTTGTGTGCTCTCCGTTAATGCCCCCTCTTGATCCCCGGACAGAAATTCATATCCAATTTTCCCAAACGGATCTGATTCTTGAACTTAGATGGAACATTGTATGTGGCAACAAACTATTTTCGGTCATCCAACGGATGGGTTAACTTTACGTCAGTGTGCAGTGGATGAATCAACACAGGTGAATAACTAGCTCAAGCCCACAGAAAGCGTCAGTGGAGCAACCAAGTAGCTATTGCGAATTTCGTTCTTGAAAAAGAATGTACCGTTTACACGGATCTTCGGAACAACAACAATCGGTCGTTTCTATCTGATAAATCTCGATCAGGGATGTCGCAGCATTGATTTGAATGGCAGAAAACCAGTCTCCGTGCAACCTCAACTTATCACATAAGCCACTACGAACGCTTACAAGTGTACTGCAACTGTCTCAGGCTAGTCAGAAACCTTACGTAACCTTACGAAACCTTAGGTATTCATCGGACTTGGGTGAGCTTGAACATAATCATGTAAAGTTGCGAGTTCCACATGTCACCAGAGGTCCATTCGCGTTGGCATCAGCCACCAATCACTGGCATTGGACGTTGATTAACGGTCCGCTATGCCGTTTCTACCTTATCCATTGCTGAAAACCGAAGCCGTTTCATACTCCGCAGGGTCTTCTGGATTCTCGTTGGTCTAATTAGAAGTCGTCTATCGCTGGAGTTGCCCCCGAAGCCTATAGGACCCCAGTGTATTTTACAAACGGGGTCAACTAAAAGAGAGAAAAAAAAACATTACGTTGATTTTCAAGATCTAATGATTTAGTCATATCGTTTCGTATGTTATCTACTATCTGGTTACTAAACCAGTTCGTTGGTTATTCCTAGTGCCTGACATCAATTTATTTTGCAAAGGTCACCAAACCTTGGAAATGAATATGTTGAAATTGTGGAAAGTAGCCTCGGTGGAATTCGAACCCACAAATGGGAATTTGTTGTCTGGGTGGAAATGAACCAAATATCTTATTTTATGAACGAGCTCCTTATGACAAGACATGGTATACATACTATCTCCATTTCTAAATCACGACACCAAATTGTGGAGGAAAGACAGACTGAAGTACGAAGAAATGCCAACTTGCTAGTTGATCTCTGATCCAAGCGCTGTTGTAAGAATGGCTAAATGAATCCAGAAAAATCAACTCCGGTATTCCAGCACCAAGTCTGACAGGACATGTTTCAGTCAAAACAAAGAAGGCAAATGTTCAAGTGTTCACTGCACCCGCCAAAAACGGGCTACAACAGCCTGCATTACTCGAGGACATACCACAAACAACGCGGACAAAAATTGATTTCCCTCAAAAATCCTAACATCGAAACTGCTGTGTTTCAAAATGAATTCCTCTCCAGGGATAGATAACATCCACATTCACAAACGCATATCAATCTGGCAAGTAACCTAACTCAGCCATTTAAGTGAACTATTTCAGCAAAACTGGGCTTCCGTAAATAGGGAAGCACGGAATAATTGCACCAATAGACAAAAGTGGAATTCTCTACCAACGCACGCTATCTCCGTACTAATAAATGATTCTTTCAAGCCAGGACTGGATGAATCATTCTCACGTCTTAAATTCCAACGTGTATAACAATCCGTTGAACAATGAAGATGTGTGACATTCTTCATTGATCAGCCAATCGATTCATTTGTGCTAGAGATTCTATTGGACGAGGAATGTGACCAGATGTAAGCATAAACAGTTCGAGATTTTCCTGAACTTACATGTGAACCTCATCGACTTCACCGGGTACCGTTTCCACGGACTCATCATCTGAATCCGATCCGGAGCTTGACGCAGATCCCAAGCGATGGAAGAACCCGGAACAGAATTGACTTTGCGGTGGCGAACTGGCGGTGCCTGATGACAAAAATCATAAATGGAGTAACAAGAACAACAGCAAAAACAACAACAACAGCAGAATTGAACATAGTGAATTAACCGGAAAATCTGTAGTGGAAATTAGTTTACATGCGACCTGGTGGATGCTATATATCTCTGTAAGTTGTGTGGGTGATTCAAATGTGAAAAGATCAGTATTCTGTCGCTGTGACCTCGTGGTAAACACTACAAAAGCTCAGGCTGCGTTCATGTGTGGGTCCGAATCCCACCGCAGATACGAAATTCTTCCCAATTTTAACATAAAACTATGATCTGTCAAACCAATTTGAATAAGCATTTCTAGCGATTAGGCGGCCTTCAACTTCCGACCTGTCTTGTAATTTCGCGAGAATCCAGTGGAGAAGTGTTCAGTCACCATTTCTAAATCAAATCTTTCGCATTTCAAGGTCCAATGTACCCTTACAGCTTCCGTTTCTTCTCTTTAATAACTGCGTTTTTACCGTGCGTCACCGGTTTCTGAATTTTATCGATTATGTCAAAAATCATCATTTACGAGCGCCAAGTATCGATCAAGGGAACCCGACTGAAAATGGTGCTGACTGATGTATCGTGCTATGATGGCGTTCCGTTGATCAAACGACCGTCACATCTATTAGGTCCCATATCATTCGATTGATCGTGTAGAAACTGGATGACGCCTAAGGCATAGTACGTCGGAATGAGTGCAACAATGTGAGAGTGATTCTATCAATCTGAAAATGCGGTTAAACTTTCAATTCATTAAATGTCGAAAAAATATCATTATCACTCAGGCAAACTATTTCAACTTGGTTTGAAATCGATAAAATATCTAGATTAAACAATATCAAAGTATAGCTGCACATAGCCGTCCAAATATGGACTTGTGGATCCCGTACCATTAGGGCACCAAGACAGCTCATCCTCGTCTGCAACGGTTGCTGACGATCGTGGCGGACTCGGTTGAGCACGTCGAACTCCCCGACGCCGTCCGTCGACCTCAATCCAGTCGGCTGTATCTTCAACTGAGATAGGATCTTCCGGACAGATAGGAGGATGATTGTCTGACTTTTTGATCACCGGATGATCCTCTTCGGTCGAAGAGGTCGAGGTGGAACAGGTTTCAGAAAAGGGATCGTGTTGTGCGGACATGGATTCAGCCAGAGGCATGGAGGGCAGAGGCAGTTCCGCATCAAATCTGTCTTTCCACGAAGTGAAGTAGCTGCACAGAATGATGAAACCCGGTAAAATGATAGAAAATTCCAGGATAATCATCAAAAAAGGATAACAATGAACAAGTTACCCGGGATGAAGAAATCTTTGAAAATTTAGCATAAACCAAATCGAACGAGACAAAGGACAACAGTCAATCTCTCGCGTGTTGGCCGTCCGAGTACGTGTGGTGTTTGGACAGTGGTTGCCAGTTGCAATCATCTTCGGAACCGTGAAACTCGGTCTGTACTGGGGTTCGGAAGAAACCAACCAGAAATTTAAACTACATTCATATGGAACATGCTCTCGTGGAAACAAATACCTGGTCATTGTTCGGTTCACTAAGTCAAACTTCAATAGCTTGCTTTAGAAAATCCACGCAACTGCCACACACCCCATTGATATAACGCTACCAGGAGTTCATGATGTACTAATTAATTTCATTTACTAGCTTAAACAGTATTATGCAACTAAGGAAGCAATCAAACGGGATACCGTGGATTCGCAGACTAGACAGATGAGAAAGACGGGTTTCCAAATGGGTACCTAAGAATTTAGGGCACAGCATACTTCGCGGTAGCTCATATCGATGATGGGGTTTTTCGCTGGAAACCCTAACCGGAGCTTTTGACTCAAAAGTTTGACCCACAAGGCAGTGGGGCGTAAATCCAACGCGGGAGCGTAAACGAAGCGCCCGTTTGGGAGCTTCTAGAGACCTGTCACGCAAGGCCTTTGAATTTCGTCAAGTTTGTTGTTCGCTGGTGCGTTGATTATCGGTCCGCTTTTCGGGATCGGCCCCTAGCCTCATGCACCCAATGAGACAAGCCGAATGTGGACGGGACAACACCTTATTGACTGGGGGCTGCCCAGCTTGGGCGGGCGGTAGTTGTCCAATCAAGTGCAAAGACTTCTCCCACCGTCGAGAGGAAGCAACCGGTACCCCGCTCCTACGTCCATTTAGCCGTTTTTTTATTTGACCGGTAAACTGCTCCTAACCGCGTTTGTTTGCTGGAGTGGCCTCTCCAGAACTAAAGTGGATAGAAGAAAGAAACCAGGAGGTGCCCAAACAGCTGGCGTTGTGAGACTGATCTCCGTCTGGCCTTTACCCGTTGACCTTTTAGGCATGATTGGATCTACGGGTGTGAAAAGTCATCTTGTGTAGCTCGCAGCGTCATGGAGGCACGCAAGCCATCACACCACGTCAAGGTGCAGTCTCGTCGTGATCCGCAGACGCTTGTAGAGCTCGTGTGTATGTATGCGAGTGCTCTACGCACACCGAGTAAGCAGAGATTGGGAGGTCACCACTCACGAACATGTTTGTCTGTTTTTCTGGTGAAACAGCAGCGACAGATCACAATGAAAAGTGATGAACCATGTTAGAACGACACAAAAACCTGAACCCAAAACGTGAGCGATCACCAAGGCCAACAGCTCGAATTTGTCCGGTAAGTTATGTGCTACTCTGCGTGAGATATGTTTTGGGTTTATTCATCGCTCGTCGTTCATCTTGAACTTAANATATCACAATCGCAATGGCTACTCTCGAAACTTCATCAAGAGAACTCTGGTTCAAAGAAAGAAAGAAACGACAGACAGAGAATCGGGAACAAGAACGACCCTGCCGTACATCAAGGACGTTTCGTAAATGACAGCAAGACTGCCAAGATCATATGGAATCCAAGTAGCCCACAAACCGATCGCCTCTCTAAAGGGACTTCTGTCAAAACCCAAGGAGAGAACAGTGGAAAAGTACAACAGCAGCGTCATCTACAAAATAAACTGCAAGAACTGACTAAAACACTAAATCGGACAAACTGGGAGCAAACTGTTAACAAGGATCCTTGAACATCAATCGGCAGTCAGGAGACATGACCCACTATCGTTGATTTCCCTTCACAAAGATCAAGAAGGACATTAATTTGACTTCGAATCAGTGAGCATTATCGGCCAAGCCCGATCAAAACAGGCCGGAGAATTTCTCGAGGCTTCGCACTTTCCAAACAACTCAGTAACCAGGCACATCGAACTGGATCACGTGTACACGCCAATGCAACTCGAGGACCAAATGATGCAGCGGAAAGGGTCCCGCCATGACCTGAGAACGGACAGAGACCGCAATCAGGACGAAAGGACAAAGTTCCCTCCTCTCACTCTCACCCACTCGCACGCGAACCGAGTGGAACAGAGTGAGAACAAGGGATAAAAACAATCGGTGGAGAAGAACACATGTATAAACGAACGGGTAAAAGCAGAACACAGTCACTTCACAAGCACTGATGATGTCGACTCGGCTGGTGATGAAACGTTTGCAAACAAATTGCCAAGCTCGGCGAACACGCGTAATGGAATTCAGTTCACCCGAGCTACGAGAACCAATTTTTAATATTTTGCCATTACCCAGTTTGTCATCAACACATATCAAACAGGCCCACAAAAGCCTCACTATGGTCGAGGATGGGTGTCTAGGGTTGTGGCTGGTCACCCGTCCCTTGCACCTCACGAAATGCTCCCATACGACCGACCGTCGCTGAACCTTTGCTGATGAAGCCCTACTCACTGCCTTCTCGTGGCGGAGATGTTTCCCACCAAAGTGAGAGAACGAAAAACCGATATCCGGAGCTATAACCGGGTTGGCGGACCACTGGTAGTTCACCTAGGGAAGTTGGTCAAAAACCTTGACTCCAAACCAACCAAGAAGAGGGGCATGAACCACACATCCACATTTTCCTGGTTGCGGTACTACTCACATGATCGATTGGGTATCGAGGTCTATTGAGGACCCTTGAACGTTTGACTCCGTCCAAAAGGGTGTATGATCCGATTAACTGGATACCGGTTTCTCACACCGCTCCGCTGCCTCGCGGGTCAGACTGTGGATATTCACAGGCTCCAGTTGTGATTTCTCTAATAAAATTTACCGGCTTTAGCCTGGTTAGCCTGGCAGTATTCAACCCACATGCAAATCATGGAACGTTCTTCTTTTTTTATAAAGATTACCGTGCCACGATTTGTTTGGCACACAGTCTGGTGTAAGACGTGTATGATATATATATAGTCATATGCCTGTGTCTTTAAGTGTTGGGTACAATGATCCTCAGGTCCCCGTGCAGGGACCCTAACACGTCCTATGACGAGACGCCATTATTGGCTGAATGCTAAACTGAATGTCAGTTGGTGAACCGCCGAGCCATGCATCGATATGCACCAGGGATTGCGACATACCAAAGTAAGGGAGGGGTAGGATCCGCTATTACGTAACAGGGTTGATATGGACCCGGTAAAAAGTGCGACCGTGGTGGAAAGCAAGACGTGCCATGAATGCGACTTAGCAGGAAACAGTGCACAACACTGAGTAGAAAAATCTTTCATGTTCGAATAAATGTGATAGTAACGGAGAGAAAGAGAGAGCGAGAGAATGAATATATTGAAAATGTCTATTTGCCTGTCACTAGTGCTCTCAAAACTGAATGAGATTCAAATTTCGCAATTAGAACAAGTGTTTTCAATAACTCATAAGCATGCCGCTACAGTTTATGTGAGGGGAAGAACCTAGGGATTGAGCACAGAACAATAAACTGTGAGGACTCGTTCACTTCGTGTATGCGTGTCTGTGTTTATGTATTGCACACTGCTTTCTCAGAGGTGCGCTTCCGGGGTTTTCAGTTAGGACACGATGGTCGTGTGACCCAGTTTTGAAGGATCCCAGACGTTGTGTGAAAATGTTTGCGTGTGCGGGCAGGAGGGAGATGTGGGTTCGCGAACCCAGGGGAGATGGAGTGCTGGGATAAGACGCTTCTGGGCACATAGTTCGGGGTTTAAATGTTTAATACAGATGGCCTCGGTTATGGCCAACGTACAACGCATTCTAACGTATTATTACCGTTTCGGAGGGACCTCATAAATAATGCGGAATGCTTCTCTTGGGTTAACACGATGGTCAGTGTCTACCAATTGAGCAAGAATCACATTTGTGATAGATCCAGAACCACCTAGACTCAGCCAGCGCAGATGAGGTTCTTTTACGCGGATAGATAACCGCCCTGCCTTACAACCGACGCAGAGTGCGTACCAAACGCATCTGAACGAGTAAACAATCATTGAAACGGTCAACATCGCTAGTTTGTCCTTATTCCGTATGGTCATCAGTGACGAACTTTTGATTAGGATTCGTTCGTTCGTTCAAAACGTTATACCTGACGAAATCGTAAACGGTGATTTATCGATTTTTTCCTGATAAACTAGCACGGAACCTGAATAGTAGAATGTCGTCTCAAGTGACGCATACAGAGATCAATTGTGGCCGGAAAGAAAGCAAAGATATCAATCGATTTTGGACTGTCAATATTAGCGGAAGACTGACTAAGATAGATCCGTACACTTTCTGAGTTGATAGGTGTTTGACTTGATCGACCATTCACGACAATTAGGAATCAGACTGAATCGATACGCGGCGTGAGTGACCAGTAAAATCAGTGAAATCAGTAAAACATGCTCATCATTCACGGTTCGTGAACGGTGGTGTGAATGAACAAAGAATGTGTGTTTCGCATTTGACTCACAGTTACTTGTGAGCAGTGGTGTGGAACAATCGTGTATGGTTGAATCGATGAACTGAGGATTGTGCGTGAAGGTGAAGTCCGAACGGGAGTCCGCTCAAATCAATAAAAAAGCGTTTTTCAACAAAAAGCTACGATCACACACACAACATGGGGATTGGGATTCCCCGGGGCTCACCGAACAATATTGTCATGTTGCAATTTGGATAGGGCACGGATTTCTCGAAGTAGGACATCCGCTTGGGTATCATCAATCCGAACACACTTGATTGCATATTCCTTTTCCTCAATGATATTTCTCGCCTGGAATGTGAAGCGGGGGGGGGGGGGGGGNTGAAAACTAGCTACATGGAGTTGGCTTCATTAACGTCAACGAGAAGGTAACATAAGGGATGGGATCACAGCCTGGCGGTTCAGGAATAATACTGACGGATGAACCACCAGAATGGGATACTGCAATAGAAAAAAAACGTGTTATTGGACCAAATTAAAAGTCAACTACGTATTCCTAATGTGAGTTCAAGACAGGCCTACACAGTAGTTGGTATGAGAGACAAACAGACAGATAATGGTAGCCGGGCGGTCAACGTCATACCAGACAGACCTCCACACCCTATTATTGCCAGAAATATTTTCCCACATTGAATGTAACGTGGTAAAAAAAAACCCAGACGCTAGTTGACAGTGCTAGTTTTATCTATTAAATATAACCCGATGCAAATGACTGACAGGGATGAGCATAAAGTACAGTTTATGGGGTAATAGCTCGATTGTGTCTGTAACCTGCAACTGCCAACCCGTTAAGAGATGGCGAAGACCTGCCCTCTTCCCTCTCGTAAGCTATTAACATTATTTTCTCATGACATTGTCTACTTTCCCAGTTATTTCGCAACTTACGATCCACAGCAAAATGGAATTGTATACCACTGCGACCCCATGGGGCTCTTCTTTGATTCGTTGGTTTCACTAGTTTCGCAACAAATTACAAGGTATTACGGTCAATACGATTCGGTCTTACTCTTTGACTGTCATTGTTGTTCCGTAGTGTACTACTGTGTTGTGTGCACTGAGTGGGAGGCATGGTTTTAAAATTTCTGGCGTGGTCTATCACAGATGTAATGTGATTACAAGCCAGAGAGTACAAATGGTGTCTTACTCTAGCTAAAATCCGATAGACGAAACATTCTGTTTTCCGACAAATTCACCAACTGGCCATTTGCATTTATATAGGTAGTGCATTTAATATTGTTTGATCCTGTGTACGGTGCATCTCACTACCCTGTGTACAAAGCAATGCTGCGTAGGTCAACAATTTGATTGAGCTTCCCCTTGGTTACGACGTCCTTCCAGTTACCACTCTCGCATCGTTTGGTCGCTTCGCGACTGGCCATGGTAGAGATAATGTGTCTGGACGAAACGTTTTTGATTGCATAGTGGCCAGCGTTTCCTCGCCACCCCGTACACCAGTCGTATCGCTGCCCTACCGTCTTCCGTCGCCCACAGAACGTCGTATCGTCTTGAGCTGTGAAAACACGAACCGGAGGCCATCCTGCCGCGCATCTCTGTTCACCCCGCTCCTCAGCGAGAGCCCAGAATACGTTTGCATTACAGTCATAATCACAAGGAATGCGTAGCTTTCTAGATTTCTACTCCCCTCATTTGCTGTATGTGTGGTATCTCTCGGATAGAGACTTGTCTTGTGTGGTCTCTGTGGATACTGCGGATAGTCTATGAGAGAGTCTGCGTTGCACTTAGTGCTATTATGGAAGAGACAATACAGAGCCCATTTCAAGACAGAAAACCATTACGTTCATGAGCTGGCAAACACACCGGGGCCAAGCACACACACACACACGAGAGAGGCATTTTGAGTCAAATCTGAAACGGGAAGTTCGTTGAGGAGGAATCAAGGTCGTTCAACTTTTTTACACAGAAGTTCAACACACCTTGAGGACACAGCCGAATCCACCACGACCGATAACGCTGAATTCATCGAAATCTTCCAAAAGTCGTGGGCACTTTGTCTGTGATGTGTAGACTTGGGTGGGTTGACCAAAATCTGTGTGTGAGAGAGAGATAGAGAGAGAGAGAGTAAACGTTAATGTTTGTTGCGAGTGAAACGGGTTATCCAATGATGAGATAATCACTCTGGGCGAAACAAACATGTTCACTTTGACAGTATTCAAGCACAGAATACATTCGACAAAAGATGACGAACACAACAAGTTGCTGTTTGGACAAATTCGTGTGCGATCCCAGATTCCTTCGTTCTCATCCGTTTGCTCACACAACTAAGTTGCTCTCTGCCCTTTCTGCGATCCCACTGGGGAATAAGCCGCGGCCGGCACAACTGGCAATTTCGGCACGGGACTGATCNAGTTGCTGTTTGGACAAATTCGTGTGCGATCCCAGATTCCTTCGTTCTCAGCCGTTTGCTCACACAAATAAATTGCTCTCTGCCCTTTCTGCGATCCCACTGAGTAATAAGCCGCGGCCGGCACAACTGGCAATTTCGGCACGGGACTGATCGGAATGTTGATGCAACCCTCATATGATTGGCTGCTGTTCAGTCGTGTCATAACAATGACACCAGCGCAGCGCCCAGTAATGGTCTACTGGTTAAGTTGGTCCAAGAATCGATTTTCGTTCGTGCTAAGCGGCCACCGGCTGATCTGATCCACCCATATGGTATAAACCAGTAGACGAGGCGTAATGCATGTGAAGCAAGCCATTTCACAATAGACGGACGAGGTTCTCATCTGGGTAAACAGTTACAAACAAAATATGCCCAACAAATAAGGTTGTATGAATGGCACAGTTGATGTATTCACACCTATCAAGTGATGAATAGGCCACCAATAGTCACAGATCAATACAATGTTGTCTCGCAGTCCGCGATTCATTGTGCAAAGGCTAGAGATGCGTCCTAAATAGAAAACCGGGATGACGCCGAGGGTCGGCTCTGGTGATAACCTCACACTGAACCCCTTGATCTCCTCTGAAGCCGACTTAACCGTTCAAATGAGTGAAACGTGGTAAATCTATTTGGATCGGTTATCACGTTTTC